TTTCTTAGAAAACTTGTAACAATGCACATGAATGCAATCTTTAATAGTTACTTCATTAATACCGTCATTCATGCTGATTCCTGCTGATAGATTAAATAAAAACAAAATGTTCTATGTGGAAAGCAAGAAGAACTCAACCCTAGGCGTAAACCCTTAGAAACTTGTTTGGTGTAAAAGTTTCAAGCTCAAACCACAGTCTCAGTTTGATATATTTGTGCATTAAAATTATACAGCTTAGGTTGTAAGTACTACTTGGCTCTTCTTTACTAAATAAGAATTGAGAGAACCCTACAGAATCTGAAGGCTGAGGAGAGAAATTTCATGCTGATTCGCATTAGTTACACACATACCTGAGGTGGACCCTGCGGGTGTCCCATGCCGTGCTGGAATGACTGTCCTTGCCCTTGGCCCATGCCTCCAGATGGACCGTTCATGTGCATTCCAGGAGGTGGGCCCTGGCCTGGAGGGGCGGAGTGACCTGGTGTGTGTGGGCCTGGAGGTGTAGGGTGGCCCGCACTGTGTGGTGAGGGTGGAGGGTGCCCTAAGGAACAATCAAATTTGAATTAAAAAAGCGAGAAAATCGAAGTGTGAGAGAAATATTCAAGGATTGTTTACATACCCGATGGAGGATGATTTGCACCAGGATGGGACTGGGGTTGATGACTGCCACCAGGATGACCCTGATGACTGATTGGATGCCCAGGATGCCCTGGGTGCTGGCTGGGGTGTTGGCCTGGATGTTGACCAGGGTGCCCTTGCCCCATGTGTTGCCCCGGATGACTTGCTCCCGGGTGGTTCTGGCCTGGGTGCCCGTGCCCAGGATGGCTTTGTCCAGGATGACCCTGACTGGGGTGAGGAGATGAGTGACCGGATCCGGGGTGTCCTGAGCCAGGATGCCCAGGTCCAGGGTGGCCTGAGTTGGGGTGTCCTCCAGGTCCAGGATGACCTGGTGCTGAGTGAACAGGCGGGGGATGTCCTGATCCGGGGTGGCTGGATGGATGGCCAGGACCTGGGTGGCCCGCACCTGGGTGGCCCGGATGTCCAGGTCCAGGATGACCTGAGCCGGGGTGTCCAGGTCCTCCTGGGTGACCTGGGCCAGGGTGACCAGGACCTCCTGGGTGGCCTTGGCCAGGGTGACCAGATGCGCTGTGAGCGGATCCAGGATGACTTGATCCGGGGTGCCCTGATCCAGGATGCCCAGAACCAGGATGACCTGCGCCAGGATGTCCAGGTCCAGGGTGCCCTGGATGGGCCTGAGAAGAGTGGCTACCAGGATGATTTTGACCTGGGCCTGGAAGCCCTGGATGGCTTTGACCTGGGTGTCCCTGACTAGGGTGTCCTGGTTGTCCTGAATGGCCCTGGCTTGGGTGGTTGGGTCCGGAAAGTTGGCTATGATGAACTGGGTGGCCTGTAAAATAAATCCGTTCACAATTATGGTGCAATATATTGCCTTAATTTCCATCTAAGCATGTCCATTCATTTATGATTGCAAAAAACATATATTGTATTGATAACAAGAACCAACCTGGATGTCCTGGGTGGTTTGGATGGCCTGGATGGCCTGGAGGTCCTTGTGAAGGATGACCATGATGTACATGGTGCTGGCCAGGGTGACCTGGTGGCCCTGGGTGCGGCCCAGGATGTTGCCCTGGGTGGCCTCCATGGGGAGGATAGCCGGTTGGCCCTGGACTGTGAGGATGGTGATGTGACGGTGGACCCATCGGTGAGGGAGAATGGGATGGTGGTACCATTCCTGAGGGTGATGGCATGGGTGATGGCGATTGTTGTGGGGGCCCCATGGGAGAGGGGGTTTGTGGTGGAGGCATTGGAGAGGATTGAGGTGAAGGGCTCGCCATCTTGCCCTTCAATTTTTCTCTGAAAACAAAT